ATTCTTCAGATCCACTCCCGTTAATCAGAATTGACATGTTACTTTTGAGAACTCACCCCTCCATCCATTACATCCATCTTACTCAAAACCCTATACATAAAAGCATCTCCTTTAAGAAGTCTCAATCTACACAATTGTAAGCTTGTGCAAAATCCACCTTGAGTAACAAACAACTTTTCTTCTTTCTTTGAGTAATGTCCACAATCTCATTAGTTACCACTACCCCATCAAGAATCTGTCTACCTGGGATTAGGGGTGGCAAACGGGAATGTCCGCCCCGTTTAGGCCTATCCCTCAAAATCCTGCAAAACAAACGGGGCGGGATGGGCATAGTTGAGGATGAGGGCCTAAAATCTAGGCCTGCCCCGCACTCACTTTTTTGCAGGGCGGGGAAAGCCTGCGGGCACTGCATCTTTTAGGCCTAAAAATGCAAAATTGTATGCGAATAATCATGCCCGCAAAAGCCCGCGAAGAAAACAGGGTGAGGCGGGGCGGTCACATTAGAGAGTGAGGGTCTAAATTCTTGGCCTGCCCCGCACTAATGTGCGGGTAAAACGGGCATGCCCAACGGGCCGGGCCCGTTTTGCCACCCCTACCTGGAATGAATGTAGTTTGAGACTTAGATATCAAATTTCCAATTACTCTACTCAACCTTGCAGCCAACGGCTTTGATATTAATTTTTAAATACAACCAATAAGGAAAATAAGCATATACTTTTCCAACCTTTGCAGATTTTCGACCTTAGGAATAAGTGCTAGATATGCAACTGACAATGCACGAGGAAGCTTTGCTTTATGATAGAATTCCTGGACACAATAGATGACCTCCTCACTAATTATATCCCAATATTTTTTCAGAAATTCTATATTAAACCCATCTCGCCCTGGGCTCCTATCACCCTCACAGATGAAAACCACCTCCCTGATTTCCTCCATGGAGAACTCCTCTTCCATCCTATCCTTTTGCCCCGCCGATAATTTCTTGAACTCAATCCCCCCATTCTCCATCCCGACCTCTGCAATCTATTAAATATGTCTTCAAAGTACTCCTTTATTTTACTCTTCACCTTTAAGACCTCCTCTAACGCTCCATTCTCCGATTAAATTGAAACTATTATATTTTTTCTTAACCTGGATTTCATTACTTGATGAAAATACTTAGAATTCCTATCACCTTCCTCTATCCATCTCAGCCTTGCTTTTTGTTCCAGCATACTCTCCTTATAATGTAAGTTCTTCCAAATGTTATCTTGTGCTTCTTTTCTTTTAATCTCTACATCCTTATTTAATTGGCTATAAGCACATAAATCATCTGCTTCCAATTCATTCAACTCATAAACTTGATCCTCAATCCTTAACTCCTGCCACCCAAAAAATATATTATTCCACCACCTCAATCTATCACGGAGGAACTTGAATTTCTCTTTCAAAATATATGCATAGTTTCCTTTAACCTTATAAGAACCCCACTCCTTTTGAACAAATTGTAGAAACTCCTTATGTTCATACCAGCAGTTGAATACCTTGAAAGGTATGGGACCCTAATCAAGACAACTTGTTTTTATCCAAACAAGTCTATTTTCTGAAATATCCATGTTGCCTAGAACTTGAGCCACCACCTTCCACTTATGACAAATAGCCTCAGACAATAGTATCATGTCAATTCTACTCCTAACATTACCACTAGAATGAATCCAAGAAAAATTGTTCCCAACCACAAGTAAGTCAATTAATTCTGTTAATTCAATGAACTTCGAAGATTCCTCCATTTCTTTCTTATTCCTAGCCACCTTGCCTCTTCTTTCTTCCCGATTTTTTACTGTATTAAAATCATCCCCAACCACCCACTCCCCCCACTGGTAATTTTATTTTCCACTCCAACAGACGCTACCACAGATTTCTCTTTTGCATTATAGAACAAGGCGAGTAAATATTGATGAAGTAACAGTTCATACCTTTCCACACTGCATTCAGACCCAACATACCTCTGTCTTTGAAGCTAAAGCCAGGAATAATCATGCTTTTTCTCCAAACGGTTAATAGACCCCCAAATAGTCCTTCAGCCTTCAACTCAGACCATTCGCAATCTGACGAACCCCACAAACTACTAACAACAGACTCCTCCAACTTATGTAATTTATTTTCCTATATAAAACATAAATTTGGCTTTGCCATAAACATAATATGGCTAATTCTTCTTCTTTTGATAGAATTTACCTCCCCCACAGATGTTGAAAATGCCGATATTCATAGAATACTGACTAATATTTCTCTCCCATCTTCGTAACATCTTATTTATCTATCTCCAATGTCCCTAATTATTCCTTCAAACACCTCATCATCTTCATCCCCTTCAATTCCCAAATCCTTGATGGATTTCCAAACCTTTGCTGGAAATCCATCTAAAGACTTCCAAATTCGCTTATTACTATAATTCACATCGAAACTTATAGTCGATTCACAACATAGCACTGAGCCCCCTGAAAATTTGGATGACGAATCCTCCACATGATTGTTAGAAGTAATTGAATCAGGGGAAGATTGAAAATTAGGGCAACTTGGGGTGAAGAAACGCCGAAAAATACGACAGAGCAAAGTAGATTTTAATTTTATCATAAATCTCTAAAATTTGTTTTTTTTCTTTTTGGGCTTGGTAATAAGAAAAGAGCTCAGAGGCCCAACAAGAATGGGCGAAATCGGGTCCAAAGAGTCCAGTTCCAAATTCACTAGCCCCACCTTATTTGAATCCAAGACCCCATCAGAGCTCCCAACTTTTTGGGGAACCGAAACAACAAACTTGACACGCTGAATATCCCCCACACGTTGCACCACTATAACCCCATCACCCTCAGCATTTAATGAAACTTCTTGGGGAACAGATGTCACATCATTGCCTTGTTGTAAATCTCCCAGGTGTACCGCATTAAATGCACCATCATGATCTTTAATTAATGTTGCTTTGATATTACTACATAATTGTGCAGAACTTTCAGTTGTTTCTTTTACAACACTATTTTCACCTCCAAAATCAGTGGCTTCCACCTCCAAAGTTTCTTTCTCTTCATGCTCCTTTTTCTGCTGATTTAACTCCTCCAGACTCTGATTTTCCTTACCCTGACTTAGTGATAGCTTTCCATCAGTCAATAGCTTCTGAACCTCTTCATCCTCTCCCCCCCCCCCCCACACACACACTCTGTTCCCAGCGCCATCATCTTCCTCCGACGAAGACTCCATAATTTCCTCAACCTCAACCTCCTTCTCTTTTGGAACCATTATTCTTTTGAGACCATGCATGTCTTCCACCAACTTAATACAATATATGCATCCATTCACCTCCATATTAAAGCATTCGTTTAATACCATTGAATATTTGGTTCGAATCAAAAATCTAGCCACATCCAACTTTGAATGTTCCCTGATTTCGTCATTGGAACAAACATATACCCCAACTGTTTTTTAGATAAATTCAAAGAACACTGGTTTCCATGCATGGCATGGCATCCCGTAACATCGCATCCATGTTAGTCTTTCATTATCTACGTCCTCCAGTGACCACGGATGGATATCAACAAACCATTGGCCTATCCAATCTGGTACCTCCTTGATCAAAGCTTCCATCTCCCCGACCTCCATTTCTTCTAACAGACAGGGATTAGCACCAAGCGGTGTAACTTTTATTCTGAAATAGCCATCATCATGAAAAGCTTCCTGAATATTATATGTCATTCTCGGAGAGTCCACCACCCCAACAAACGCTTTTTCGAATCTCACAAGATCTGACGGCTCTACGTTGAACTGAAGTTGAGAAACTTCAGTTTTGGTTCAACGTCCCTCCATCCCGACACCTTCTTCCCACCATGAACTTGCATGTGGTCTACATTCATACCATTTGTCCCAATGTCCACCGCTTGTGCATAAGATCTCACATTCTCTTTTGACCTAACATTGTATTGGCCCGTTGACTCCCGCCGATTCTGCCCACCCTCATTGACAACCGCAAACACTCATTTTCGTTGTAAGCCATAACCATCAACACCTCGCTGAAATCATGGGATATTTGCATGGAGTTTCCTCCCTCTTATGAATATGTTGTCTAACTTCACCTCCAGTCTTCTATGATTATCCACCTTCCGGAATCTTACAAAATCGTACCTCTTTCCCCTTTTGTCTCTCTTAGGCGGTATTATTACTTCAACCACAAGCCCATGTTCTACAAAAATATCAAACATCTCCTTCGCACCGTAATCATCTGGGATCTCAAAGAAAAAGAAACTTGTAACGACTTCGCCCTCCCCTTGACCTTAGTCCCGCTGATTAACACCCCTTCTTGATATGTTGAACGTTTTTTATTTTATGTTCTTCACTTCTCTCCACCCCTCACTCTATCGCATCTCTCTTATAATCCATTTTGGTTGATTGATACATAAAAATATATGAGTATATTAAAAATTGTTTGAATTGAAGGACATAAAATTGTTTGAAGTTAGATAAAGAATAATCACATGTATTTCTTTTTGTAAGCAAAAGCAATTCCATTAATCAACACATAAAATGAAACATCCAATACAAGATAGTAGAACCAAAAAAAGCTATTACATCAAACACTTTTGCAAATGGAATAACCTAATAAGCTAATAGAAAATTAACCCAAACTCAAACACTGTAATGTGTTACTATAATATGTTTATCGGTATGTAATTTGCAACTATAAACTCTCAAAGACTGTATTTGTTTACAACTTCCAATTATTTTGTAGTAATAAAAACCATATTCTATACACCATACAATGAGTATACAACAATATGAAGAAAATCGAGAAAAACGTAGATTAGTTCAGTTGGTAAGGATTCATCTCAAGTTGCACGAGGATTTGGAAATCCTCGTGTCATTTTAGAATTTCGTTGCCATGCTCTTAAGGTTTTTTCGGACCATGGCAAACCTGAGACTCAACTCACCTAAACTTTTTTTTCAATTCATCGTAGATCCAAAAGTGTCATTTTTTAACAAGGCCTAGAAAAAGAAGCATCTCTTGGAAAATCAAAAGGGCTCCAATTACCAGATAACAAGTCTGCATGATGAATTTGATCAGGAGCAAGAAATGGTGGTGGTGGAGGTTGAGTAACTTGAAATGGAAGGTTCATCATCATTTCAGCATTGGACCACATGACATGATCATCATGTGATGAGGAATCCTCTTCACCTGGCAAAGGTGGTAGCTCAAAATTCACACAACCATCATCATGATGAACTCTATCTTTTGGAAGAGTTTGCATAGAATCGAGTTCGAACTCACCAAAATGTGTTACCGATGTGGACGTGGACGATACTAGTAACTGATCATGAAGATTCAAACACCCTTTGAAACCAAGTTCTAGTTCCGACAAATTTAAACTACTTGAACCAACTTCAACATTCGATAATATCCTCGAGTTTTCTAAAGGGTCGAACCCGATTTTTTGAGAACCAGGCTTTTGATTAAGGAAATTTGCGTAAACTAAAGCAAGATCAATATTGGGTTTAGTATATTCAGTGAGCAATGAGGATGAAGTAGAAGATGAAACATTATTAGTCCTTAAAATAGGATCTGATAAGGTTTTGTTGTTACCTCTTCTGTTTTTTCTGCAGCCACCACCAACAGGGACGTTTCTGAGGGATCCACCTTTTGTCCAATATCGTCTGCATCCTTTGCAAAAGTATCTTGGTTGAGTTAAGCTGTAGTTATTGTAGTAACAGAATTTTGTGCTGGAACAACCACATCTTGGACAATTTGGTGATATCTCAGTTGTAGCTTTCCAACCACTCTCCATGTCTGCATCAGTGTGATATAGAAATATGATATATGTTCCTTTATACCTCTTACTTGTTTGTGTGTGGGGAGTGAGAAAGAGAGAGGGGGTACAATACTACATAGTTTGAGTTCGAGTTCTCAAAGCACATTGAGTGTTGGTGTGCACATGAGATGTATGATCTTGGAAATGTGTATGTATTGATGGACATGAACATGCATAAGGTAAATAAGGCAGGTAGTGTGCCACTAAACCGTAGGCTGATATAGGGTGTCGGTGTTTAGTACACGTGGCACGATGTTATTGGTTTTGATGAGGGTAATTTGGGAAGCAAAGACATCGAAAGTACAATTTCAGGTTCCTTTCAACAAAAGACAGATTATAGATATCATCACATTCCTTCAAAAGGGTAGCATCCCAACCTCACAATTCTCACTCATCAATAACTATCATCATCTATTGCTCACTCACTACTTGAGAAAGTAGATAGATAATTACTGTTTTAATTAGTCATATGTAGGAATTTTTTTATGCGTTTAAGCAAATAAACTACAAAAATATAGAAAAAAAAATTAAAGCAAAACGGTAAAAATATAAGAAAACTGGGTAAAAAGTTTGTTCGATTGTTTCTATGCGTTATAAAAAAATTTATAAGTGTGATATTTATAGAAAAAATTTAGTTATACAAATAAAAAAGATGTGGGTGAAATTAATTATGCAGATTTTGTTGGATCTTCTAATGTATTAGTAATATGTGATGTTTCACATTAGATAATTTATTTTTACTTGTTTCACTATATTACAGGTTTTTTCAATCCACGTGAAGGGATCGTATCTCCAATACGATTATTTTATAATTTGTCTTTTCTTTTTTGTTTATTAACGTTTATTGAGTCTCTTTTATGATTGTATTTCTCTGAATCAAGTTTGAGTTGATTTATTATTCGTTATAGCATGCATAAATCAATAATTATATTTGAACTTGATCATGATGCTTATAGTCAATTGTATGAGTCAGTAGAATAATAAGAATCATTTGTGTTTTTATTCAAGTTAGGTGCAAAGAAAAATCTTAGTATTTTGAAATTTATTTAAAATGAGATTTTGTGTGTTTGATTCAAATCAAATAAATTAAACACACTTTCTGATTCAAATCAAGTTGAACATAGGCAAACAAAAGTTTTTTAAACACTTTGATTTGAATTAGAATTTACATCTGATTCGAATCAAGTATTTTCTGGTCACCTCTGTTTGATTTGATTCGAATCAGACTTTACACCATATTCGAATTTGACTATTTTTCAGCATTTTCCATTTGACTCTATTGTAGTTGATTTGAATCGAGATTTGTACTTGATTCGAATCACGGGGTCTTTGATTCGAATAAGACTTGTTCTTGATTCAAATCAAGCTTGAAATGGATCAAAAATCAGGTAAAAGATTTCAATATAGTGTTATGAAGACACTGTTGGGAATGAGAATCAATAACTTCATCGGGGATAGACAAACTACTCATGAAGAGACCGTCATTTTCCATAAAGAGGAAATCCAGGAATAATCAAGTTGCTCAAATAAAGAGTTTGCCACTTATCATCATGTTGAGATTCCAAAAGAGTGTTGCAACAACACTATTGGGGAATAGAGTCACCTTCAATGGGGAACCATGAATAGAATCTTCTGGAGGAGACAAAAGTATTTAGAGGCGCAAAATGAATGCACTCTCAATCTAGGTTTCACAGCCTAGAGAAATCCACAGGGTAACATCTGCAGGAGACGAATCTTAATCTAAGAATAAAAATGGAGAGAAAAAGTCAAACAAGACTCTACTAGATGAGGAATAAACTCAACTGGGACCTATCCTATCCTGAGATGAAAGGAAGGCTAAAACAAAAACCCTTCCACGAGGAATGAACTCAGTGGGGAATTAACAAGGATGTACACTTTCTGCTTAAGTTGTCACTCTATTTGGAAAGAGGAAATAAGTTACTTGGGGATAAACATAACCAATGGAGATGGACCCAAAAACATAGAGAAATACGAATGTGCCTGAATGATGTAAGTTCTAATGAATAAATGTCCTGTATATGCTGACAAAATAGACAAAATAAATAAACTAGAGATCAAAAGACATCACAGTACAAACAGATACTCGACTAGTCTCGATAAGATAGGAACATTACTGGAGATAGAACAAAAGCCATCGACGGAGCATATTTCTGCTATAAGGCTCTAATCTCTCCGGAGAGGAAGATACTCAAAGTCCAATCAATAATCCATTGAAATAGTAACAATGCTTCAGCTGGAGAAAAATCTTGCTTAGTTGGAAATACTGGGGAACACCACCATCTGATAATGTGTGCAAAGCAGATCACATATCTTGACAAATCTGGGTTGCCTCTGGAACTAACTTTGTATGCCCCAAGTTTACTGATGATAAATTGCATGATGCACGACAATTCTTGCGAATAACTTCACTTCTTAAATGCCCCAAGTTACATGGTTTACGATAAGAAATCTTCTCAGGAGGATTTTACAAAATACCTGGCATCCAAAATTCCCCCAATGTCTTCAAACTCTTTGAGAGATTCATTGGATCTCGACGTGACTGTCCAATATTGACTGTAATTGGCGAGACAGAGTCTTCAAATATGCCCCATGAGGATAAACGAACTATGAAGGCAGCAACATGTTCATGCTGGAGGTTTTTAGGTGACATGCCCCTGGCTATGATCACTCTTAGTAACGATTCGCCAATTACTTAACAAAGTTTCAGACCTCAAAAGATTAAAATCATCACTAGTGCTTATATGTAAGCTTCCTTGACATTAAGTAATTATTTTACAAGTAGAAAAATTTATTCTGAGAATGAAAATTCTAATGCAGCAATTATGTAAGCCTTGAAGATTTTTTAAAAGATGTCGCATAGCTTGCGAGTTAGTGTATTATTTATTTTTGTATGAAAGATAACAAAAGCATATGATACCAACACAAATATTTTAGCTGAACTTATGAGAATCAGGAACGCTATCTCGTTGGAGTATGCTTTTGAAATAAACTATGTTTCAATTAGGACTTTTGAAGGTTGTAATGTGGCCTGGTTCACGGTTTTCAGAAGAAAAAAAGATTTTAAGGCTCAAAGTTTATTTGGTGCCCCCCCCCCCCCCCCCCCATTCATGATGTTATTAAATCCTATATTCAGTTAATTTGATACTCATCTCTCAAGAGGAATTAGTTGATGGTTGGTGAACCACTGACATTCTTTAGACACGACAATCACTCACTTTTATCACACGACTTTATTCTTTGCTAAGGATTTTTCTTTGTAATCCTTTCTTTGCAATTTTTTCCCTATCTTTTGCCTGAAATATTCTTTTGAATTGATAGTCCAGTGGAATGCCCTAATTTTTGCCTAAGTCGCTCGTTTTCTAGTTTTTGACTTAGCGGGCTTTTTATTTTTTTTCTTGATTTTTGAACAAAACGTGTGACTTTAGCTTTCTTTACTTGTTGAGAGGATTGTGACTACCTTGTTTCTTGACGGATGAGGGATAACCGTTGTGGTATCGTCGTCTTGTTGATTTCCTAATGTGCAAGAGATACCCATTAGGATATCGTCTTATTTTGATGCACACTACTAATAGGCGGAGATTTATCAATGCGATTTTGACTTTACTCAACCTTTTGAAAGATAATCATTGTTGTACCCTTGAATGCGTACTCTTGATGAGATTTGAATACTCAAACAGATTAACTGAACACTATCCTGCCCCGGGTTAAAAATGAGGGTTTTTTCTGAACGAAAAATAAACTCCTACTTCAAGGCTCAAAGTGGTTAACAAAGGTTTCACTCCCTTATATCTTCGGTGTTTGGGGATTTGAAACAATGCATGTACAACGTCAATAGGGTTTTATCCAAAAGCATACGACCAGAGATTTTGCATTTTTAATATCATCATCCTTCATCCAGTCTCTACCTAGGCAAGAGAATACGTAACAAGTTGGTATCACAATGCAAAAAGAAATTTTAAAATTGAAACAAATACAAGTGAAACGAATGGGTTTCTTCAAGACAAACATATTCATTGTATTAAGATAATCATTCAAATGCAAATAAGTTTTTACATGCAAACAATACATTGATAAACAAGAAAAATTACAAATGAAAAATCAGTAAAAGTGCTAATTAAACTGATAAGACTCTCTTATTTAAACTCCAAGGTATCCTTCAATCTTCATCAAAGGCTTGACTTTAACCTCAAGACCAATATCCTTAAATGACAAGATACCATTTCTGACCAATTTCTAGACTTCAGCTTTCAATGAATAATAATGTTCGATACTATGACCAGGGGATCTTTGATGAAAGGAACAAGTCAAATCAGCTTTGTAGTACCATAGTATCTTCTCAGGAACCTTCGGTGGAGATTGGGTCTGAACCAAATTCCTATGCATCAAGATAGGAAACAACTTTGTATAGGTAGTTAGAATTGGATCAAACTGATTTTTTTTCTCTGACCAAGAATTTGCTGGTTGGGAGCTTCGAAAGCTATATTTACCTTAGGGATGACTAAAAACATGTTGTTGTTAATGATGATCTTCCCTACTTTTGGGTCTCCTTGGTCCTCGCTGCAGTCGCGGATGATTTTCAAGAGTTTGGTTAACCGGTGGCATAACAGTAGCAACTTGTGGATGCTGATAACTCCTTTTTCTACATCTAGGTTTCCTTTTTCCTTCTTGCGAAGTATCAATGGATTCTTGCTCTCTTTTCTTGGAGAAGCTATCACCATACTTCTTTGCATTATCTGTCGAGTTACCATTTTCGGACAAACATTTCTCCCGGGTGTTTTCTTCCAGAAGCACTCCCACATTCACTTTTTCAGGGAAGTCACTGGGTGTATTGACCTTCTCATGAACGAATGATTTCAGAATTTTTATGAAGACCTTTTCCATCTCTTCTTCCTTCCTATAAGGATTGACTTGGGCAGCAACCAAAGTTTTAACCAAAGAAGTTAGATACTTCATAC